TTTGGCATTGGGCGCTTTCTGGCATTGGGCGCTTTTCGTTTAGCGCTTCTGCATGAGCGCTTTGTCGTTAGCGCGCGTTGCTTTGGCGCTTTTGTCATCCTCCCAGAAACTTGCCCATGCTGCCTCGATCTGCATCAGAATCCGTCCATAGTACCCGTGCGCGCTTGGGGCGTTCCTAAGCGTTTGACATATTGTAGAAACCTCTAAAATTACAGTTTATAGACGGGATCAAACTGCGCCTTCGCCTTGACGGTCATTAACTTGCCGATGTTGCCCATCGGATTGTCGGAGGTGAAGTTGGCGGCGACATGGCGGTGGTATACTGAAAAAGCTGAATTTTTCTCTCTTGCTCTCGCTGTCTCTCTCGCTCTCTTTCTCTCCCTTTCTCTCTCTCTCTCTCTCTCTCTCTCTCTCTTTCTCTCTCTCTCTCTCGGTCTGACTCACTCTTATCAATCATGGCGTGATGGGGCTGGAGAAATTCTCGCGGGTAGATGTCGTAGACCTTCAGATTGTCCAGCTTACGCCTGGAAACTCCATCTCTCTCTCTCTCTCTCTCTCTCCCCCCTCTCCCTCTTTCTCTCTCTTTCTCTTTCTGCATCAAATTCCGCACATAATCACTGCTCGTTCCTCATCAGGCAGCATCATGGAGGTGGTCACCTTGTCGCGGAGCACTTGAAGCAGCGTGGCTTCAACGTCGTACCACTGAATTTAGTTACGATTGATTCCAAATTACACACAAGTTTCGGGATGATCCCGTCGACGATACGTTGGTCGGTGCGCAGCTTGAGGGGCCAAAATTCGTTCCAAGTCGCCTGCATACAGCGCTTCTCGCGGGCCGGGGTTGAATTGTTTGTGTCGGCGTGGATAGAGACGTAATCTTGGAGTTGTTCGACGTAGCGGTACAGTAGATAGTCCTGAAGTGGAGAGAAACTGAGAGAGAGAGAGAGAGAGAGAGAGAGGGGGAGAGAAGGAGAGAGGGCGACAAAGCGTCAGAGACTTCTTAACCTTGATAACCTCGATCGGATATTCCGGCAACTCCCGTATGACATGGATCAGAAAATGGCTGTTGTCGATTTGAATCCTAAACGCTGTCATGAATACCGTATCCCTAGCCTTCACAACCCTTTAGAAGCACTGGGGTATTACCGGGGCGAGGAAAACCATCCAAAATTCGACAAATTTTTAGAACTAAAAACTATACGTTTTTCGAAAAAAATAGGATACTAAGGCAAAATGTTGGTCCCCCCGATAATGCCCAAGAACCAAAGCACCCACATCGTCTTCTCAAAATCACTTTCCGGGAAAAGCACCCTCAAATAGCGGCTCATATTGAAGCGAGCATGCGAGAATTTGTCACCAAACTAAATAAATATATTTAATGGGTTATTTCAGGTGTAAAACGTAGCTAAACGTAGCCAAACGTAGCCCACCTCTTCCAAGGTATAATTAAAGGGCATTCGCGGTTCCATCGAAATGACGAACGGTTCGCCGAGCTTGTAGAGGGCGGACTCGAGCTGGAATTGGATTTGCAAGGAAATGATGTCGTAATTACGCTAAAAAAGTACGAAAAATCCGTGGTGAACTCATCGGGCAGCGATTGTCGATACTTTTCAAAGCGCTGCGAGGCTTGGAAGACGTAGATGACGTCCTGCTCCTCGTAGCCCTCGTCGGCCCGCCGGTAGTACAACTCGGAGGAGTGGATGTAGGCAGGGGCCTGAATAAAAGATGCTCCTACCGTTTTCCTAAAAAGACTTTGCTAGCTTGCTTTTCCAAAAAATCGCGGCTAGCATGCGTTTCCCCAAAAAAATCTGCTTGTTGGCTTGGCTCGAAAAATCACGGAAATTGATTTTCCACCAAAACCACGGCTAGAATGTCTTTCTGCAAAAATCTCTGCTAGCCTATTTTTCTCTAAAAAACCCTGATCCATTGCCTTTCCCAAAGAATCCCTGCCGCGCGGCCGTTCCTCAAAGATCCCTGGTAGCTCGCCCTTACTCAACAAACCTCCCCCGGCCTTTTCTCGTCAACACCAAACTGACCGGCTTCACTTCGACAATGTCCGTCTCCATCCCGAGTCGCAACACGTGGAAACCAGCAAATACCGAGTGGTCAGCTGCGGCACGGCCGAGGAGTTCTTCAAGCGGGGTGGACGCATCGCCCCAGCTTTTCCACACGCCCGACAGATGCGCGCGCAGGGCAGCGGGTGGAATCGAAAAACCGAGGCATGCCTGGAAAAAGGGGCCAACTAGCGGAGATTTTTGAGGACTAGCGGTGCTCTGACGACAAAAACATCAAACTACAGTATACTTTCTATTATGAATTTCCACATTTTTACAACAAAACGATTACCGTATGATAATTGGCAGCCGCTTCCAGCCATGGCTCTCGATGCTGATTCTCCAGAAGCCGTGTGAATTCCCGGGCAAAAGCCTCGGCGCGCGCGTCGAGTTGGTCCGCCTCCAACGTTCGGTTTACTGTAATAGATTCCGTTAGGCGCCTATTAGCGCTTCAATAGCCCGTTAAAATGAAACCACTCACTCTTGATGCCACAGACAAATTGCCGGAAATCGATGCACGGGTCGGCAGACGTGTCCATGGCTCGCATCAGATAATCGGCTGTCTCCAGACATTCCTGAAAATTCCGAGTCGTAAAAGGGATTTAGGGATGCGGGCTAGCAGAGATTTTTGAGGAATCATCCTTGCATCTTAAAGCAGAGACGGGTAGGCTATCAGAGATCTTTGAGGACGGCTGGCGCGTTTTAAAGGGTTGGTGGCTGCGAGATAGGCACGCTAGCAAAGTCTTTTTTCTGGCTTTCAGGAAAAATATGATCTGTGCATTTTAAAGCGACCTTTTCATGGACTACTATCGCGGCGCGGGTTCTAGCGGAAAAATCCATTTTTTCGAGACTCACTTCAGTATGGCATACGGTGGGCCCTCCTTCGACCGTGGCCAAGACAGTAGTTAAGAGTGCCCAGAGCAGCAGACGGACCATGATTTGGGGCCAAATGGACCCAAATGGTTAAGTCCACCCCGGGGAGGGGAGACCGACATCGAACTCCCTGCCTGCTGTTAACCAGCGCAAAAACGGGAAGTTCAGCTGTCCGCTGAGGAATGGGAGGGTGGGGATCTTAAAAAAATGCCCACCCAACGGCCTTGCGCTGAGAAATTGAGCCGGGTGATCGAGGAGCTTAAAGGTGCTGGGAACCACCAAAATCTACCCTAGTTATCGACCTTATAAATCTCTGTTTTTTTTAGGTATAAGTCAGAAGAAAACGGCCAACAAAGCCAAGCTATGCCCTCTGGAAGTGCTCAAAAATGGATGAGCAGCCGTTTGGGGGTGGGTGGAGGGGCGGCCCGCTACTTTGCAGCCGAGCCTCGTCCTTTTAAAGATCGCTGCTGCAGGTTTTTTTCCTTTAAGGTACGTGATTGCCAAACATAAGCCCAAGCCTAAGTCTGTAGCTAAGCATAAGCCTAATCCCAAGCCGTAGCCGAAGCCTAAGCCTAATTCTAAGCCCAAGCCCAGCCAAAGCCGAGCGATTTTGGCTTTAAAGAGACTGTAGAGTCGTCACTTGGCAAAAGCTTCCAGGCTTCTCCTTTCATCTTCTTCCAAATTCCTACGAGCCCATCAGCCGGAATGGACGAGAAGAGGATCCCCTCGTAGTCTTCTCCATCCTTCCAGATCGGCTTCTCCTGTTTCCTCCCCCATCCCCAGATAAAACCAACCAAGAGGAAGCCATTTGTTCGTTGCTTCTGTGCCGCCAGATTTTAGAATTAGCCGCCCTCTCCCTGGTTGTCGAGGCTTAATGATTCCCTGCCTAATCCTTTGCGTATCCCATTCATTGCCAGTCGGCCGCACCCTAATTCGGCTTTCGTCAGCTGGATCGTTGCCTGTCTGGTTGTTTTTTTAGCTTAAATATTTTTTGAACGAGTTTAAAGAGACTGTGAAGGCAGAATTTGTAAACGCGTTGCGCTCGTGGAACGTCTCCTTGGTAAAGTTCTTCGTGACGCATACGCACGCGTTGATGAGGAACGGAGCCTTCTAGAGGAAAACGCTAAATTTTACGAGATTTTTTCAAGAATCTTAACAAGAAGATTCACGCGCTGCGGCCACGTAGCGTCTAGGCAGAAGCGATACCGTGACGCGTGCGCACGCAACGCGTTTACGACGGACGCATGGAGGCCTCTAGCGGAAAATAACGATTTTTCAAATGGTCTCTAATTTAGTATAATAATACTCTTAATTTTTCTCCCATATACTCTTTTTTTTAATTAAATAGGTCTATCAACTGTAATACACCGGAATCTCGCCCCAATTTCAGCTTGAAAAATGCCGGAAAGAGGTCCGTTCCGCCATGCCCTCACGAGTCTGAAGGGCGCCATTCAACACGACATCACCCAATTCTCGTTGCCGGTAAGTTTGTCAATCTTGTGCCGTAATCGATTTCGGGGTACGGTGGACAAAGCGCATTTTTGAGCCCGGCTAACTCCCAACTTTCCGGCGGGGATAACCGATGGGTCGTCCTCCCTTTTTCCCCTAAAACCCACCGGGGCGACTCGATGCCAAATTACCGGAAGTGAGCCGCTGGCCAAGACCCCGAAGAGAAGGCAAAAAGAGGATAAAGGAAAGAGCGGAATGACAGAAGAAAGGCAGAAAATGGGTGGATGCGTAGCGCTCATTGCTTGGCGGCTGATGCTCGCCTAAGCCTAAGCAAAGCCTATGCCTAAGCCAAGTTTAAGCCTAAGCCTAAGCATAGGGCTAACACTTTCTCTAAATTCCTAAATCTCACGATTTTTAAAGCTGGCATCCTGCCAACATCTATAAAAATTCCCCCTGCCCTCCCGGACCCTCTAACGATCTCAGCCTCCCAATTCCGGGCTAGACCCTGATTTCCTGATTTCCGGAAAAGCCAAACTCTCCCTCGCCAATTTCCTGCCTATCTGGCGACTTTTCGCCGTCGATCGGCGTGTACTGTAGCCTGAAAATATCCCTCGCCCCATTCCTCCCCCTCCTATTTTCCACCCCCTCATCCATGTCGAATCGAATTGTCCATTCCCCCTCATCAACTGGCCATCCTCTTCACAATCACATCCACCAACACGTCGCCAACAGCTATCCATCCGTGTTGGTAGGTAAAAAGGGATCGTATTTGCCTTTTTTTTTGAAAAACATAATGCCGAAAAACTGTTTAATCGAAATTCGATAATTTTTGAAATTTGAACGAAATTAGCTATGAAAACCGCTTTCGAAATATCGCCGTTTTTTTGAGGAAGCCTGGAATTGGCAACATGCCATCTAGCCCAGGCTCTTCCGGGCCTTTGGTCTAGGTCCCGGGCCCACAATCGGGGTCCAATCACTCACATCCACACCCACACTGCATTTATCTCTCTCTCTCACTCTCTCTCTCTCTCACTCTCTCTCTCTCTCTCGCTCTCTCACTCCTTTAATTACTCGCGGGCTACCGTAGTCCCTCCGAGAATGGCATAAGCCTTCCAAGCCATCGGCCATTACCCACCCGTCGGTCTCAACTCAACCCCATCTAGAGATACATCCACGAATATGGTCAGTTTGGCTTGTTTTCGTGCTGCTGATGGTAAGATTAGAATTACGAGAGAGAGAGAGAGAGGGAGAGAGAGAGAGAGAGGGAGAGAGAGAGAGAGCTAGACTTTCGAAATTCAATTTGTCGAAAATTAAAATATCGAAACCCATTTTGCTGCAATTTCATTTGGCCAACATTTAAAGACGCGCGGACAGCTCGACCTTCGATTTTCGGCAACATGAAACTTCGACAAATCGAGATTTCGACAAGTTATTCCGTAATATCATACACTCTTTTTTATTTTTTTATTTTCATGGAAAATCTGTAGGTTTTCAGCTTGATTCCCACCTCATTCCCCTTTTTACATATTGACGGATGGCGGTAGACCGGAAAATTGAAATCCGCAGGATTCTTTCTAGATTTTTCTGAACCCCATTTCGGCCACCTCTATGGGGTTTTACGTCCCTTCACCGCCCCTTTAAAACGCTAACCTTTTTTGATTTTTATTTCAAAACTCAATATGCAAATTAGCGCCCGGAAACTCGGCTTTTTCCAATCCTCCACCCAGTTTTTTGTGGGGGTTTTTAGGGCGGTAGGCCCGAGCCATATGCAAAGTGGTAGAGAAGCCGCGAGTGAATAATTCAGAGCCCAGATTATTGCTCGCGAGGGCCAACCCCAATGGCCCAATCCCCCTCCCTGCTTCTTCGTCCCAACCTTTTCCCACCTATTTACCCGTGTTTTTCGAAAAACCCCGGATTTTTGGGGGCTACCTAGAAATCATCGATTTTTTGTTAATTTACGTAAAAATTAACGAAACGTCAAGATTTTTTGGAGACATGGTTTTGGTGAGTAAGGGGAAAAGGGCCGATAAACCCGACAGCTAAAATCCCGACACGACAAAATGCCGACATGCAAAATAGTTGCTTGAAATTGAGTGGAATTCAAATCGTTGACTATTTGGCTGTCGGCATTCTGGCTGTCGGGATTTTGGTGGTCGGGATTTGCGCCTATCGGGATTCTGGCTTGTCGGGATATTGCCCTCCGGGGCTTCCGCCTGTCGGGATTTCGGCTATCGCGGTCATGGCTGTCGAAATTTTGGCCCCTCGGGATTAAGGTTGTCGGGATTGCATACTGTCGGAATTTTGGCAGTCGAGATTTCGCGTGTCGGGATTTTTGCTGTCGGGATTTTTTGGGGCTTTGGCCTGTTTTTTTGGGAAAAAAGGTTTCTGTCGCTATTCGGGCATGGCGGAATTCTGTCGGGATTATGACGGTCGAGATTTTATCGATCGAATTTTTACCTGTCGGGATTATCACTGTCGGGATTGTAGCTGCTGGGGTTTTGTTTTGTATGTATTTTGGCCTTTTCCCCTCCTGAAACCCCGCTCAATGCCAATCAGATTTGCCGTCTCCTAGTTATGCCCAGGGGGGGCACCAATTTCACGGAAGAATGACCCGAGCCCGCCCCCAAAAGCCGCTTCTCCCCCCTTTGGCTTCCAGAAATTGGGGCTTGTTTTCACGTGTTTTTGTCGGCGGGGCAGGCCCGGCTTCGAAATTGGATCAACACACCGGGGGTTTTTGGGGTGGCCCTGGGTGCTCCGTGGGTCCCGCGGGGATTTCCCTTCCCGGCTGTGGCTTCTCGCTAAAGCTGCTAATAAATTACCTTCAACCCCAGGGGTACCGTAACCTGAAACTTGTTTACCCTTCGATTTGAATGTTTTTAGGTTTTAGAGCCTAACAATTTTTTTCGTACACAAGTATACTATTGACGCTTTCCACTGGAGTACGGTAGACTAAAAAAAGCCGCGCTACCACCGGCCGCGATCCATTCAAAAAAAATTCGCGGCGTATCGTACCCTGTTTACCCTGAAATTTGAATAGTTTAGGTTTTAGACCCAACAAATTTTTTGGTTCCCCGTGAATACTATTGACGATTTTCTCTGGAGTACGGTAGACTACAAAGTATGCTGTATATTTTATATCATAAATTCGTAGAACGTGTATATTTTGCCTTTCACCCTGTACGTTGGATCGCCGCGGAAATCCGGTTACGATATCTAATTTCCGGCCCCGGCTAAATTTGGGTGTGATTGGCGAGTGTAATGAGTTGTTTTCAACTTGGAGAGAGAGAGAGAGAGAAAGTGAGTGAGTGAGTGAGTGAGGGAGACAGGGTGAGATGGAGAGAAACGGGGTAAAGTCACTACCCCGAAAAGTCACTACCCCGAAAGTCACTACCCCGAAAAGTCACTACCCCGAAAGTCACTACCCCGAAAAGTCACTACCCCGAAAAGTCACTACCCCGAAAGTCACTACCCCGAAAGTCACTACCCCGAAAGTCACTACCCCGAAATAATTTGCATGATTTTCATAGGAAAACCGCATGGAAAACTGGATTTTCCGGGAAAAACAATGCTATCATTTTTCGGGGTAGTGACTTTCGGGGTAGTGACTTTTCGGG